TCCGATCCTTGGCTCAGGTCGAGTGGACGGGCCATAAGCTACGGATCTGTTCAAAAAACAACTTCCCGACGGCGGCAGGTCTGGCCTCGTCGGCCGCCGGTTACGCCTGTCTTATGTACGCTTTGGCCCGACTTCACGGCATCGACTCAGTGGAGACCATCTCAACGCTGGCCCGTATCGGGTCGGGCAGCGCCTGCCGGTCCGTCTACGGCGGGTTTGTACAGTGGGTCCGGGGATCGGACGCCCAGACGTCCATTGCCCGCCAGATTGTGGACCAAAACCATTGGCCAGCGATGCGAGTGCTGGTACTCGTAGTGAGGGATACCCAGAAAGACACCAGCAGTACGTCGGGTATGGCCCAGACTGTGGCCACCAGTGCTCTAATGCAGCACCGCGTGGCCAGTGTTGTGCCCGCACGGGTGGAGGCTATGGTGGCGGCGATTAAGGCCCGAGACTTCCCGACCTTCGCGGAGATTACAATGCGAGACAGCAATCAATTTCACGCCGTCTGTGAGGACACGTATCCGCCGTTGACTTATATGAACGACACGTCCCGCGCGGTCCGACGGTTCTGTCACCGGTATAACGACTTTCACGGCCCCCGAGCCGAGCCCCGCGTGGCCTATACTTTTGACGCCGGCCCTAACGCCTGCCTATACCTGTTGGACAGGGATGTGGCGCCGGTGTTGGCACTGCTCGGCCGCTACCATAAGGATCTGGTGGTTAAGGGTAGCGGCGATGGTGTGGTGGCGGATGGCTATGTGTTGCCGCCCGAGTTGGCCAAACATTTTGATGATAACCCGTGTCTACCGCCCGATGCCATCCGGTATGTGATTAGCACTCGTGTCGGCGCCGGCCCTCAGCTGATGCCGGATGAGAGTGAGTGCCTGTTGAACGCCGAGGGTATGCCTAAATGATCTGGTTTATTTTTGCAATGTTTTCTACAGTTAATGCATTAAATCAATGTATTTTTATAATTATAATTAATTAAAAGTTTTAACTATGTCTTTATGTGTAAAACTTTATTACTATACGTTATTTATGCGAACCAATGTTACGGTATTGTGGCTTAAAGCGAGTGTTTAGTACCTTTAAATACTGAATTATTATAGGCTATGAGTGTATGCTTTTAGCCGTAAGTCCTATGCTATGAAATGGTAGCAAACCTTCGGTACAAAGTCTATGGGCATTGAAAAAGCATTGGATTTATTGAAAACATAACACAAACAAAAAAGTTTTGTTTGTCTCAAACCCGGCGCTCAAGACATTTGGCACTTAAAGAGCTGATCCCAAACCGTGAAGAGTGATGTCTAATTGGGCGCAAATACAGCAACAGCTGCGGCATCCGTCCAATCCGGTGGTGTTCTTCGACATCACGATCGGCACCACAGAAGTCGGTCGCATGAAAATGGAGTTGTTTTCCGACGCCGTCCCGAAGA